TTGACAAGAGACGACAAATCCATTAACAAAATAAGAGCCAACATCCACCACTTCTTCAAAATTCTAATGCGCTAACTGTTTTTCAACAGCCCACTTGTTCATATAATCATTAATTTCTTTCTTCACATCATCAAGAACCTTAAGACAAGGCTTTACATTCTTATGAGTGCAAGTGCTAACTCTAGAAATTAGAGTTATCTTAGGCATTTCTTAGCTTAAAGTTTGTTTGACCAAGGGTAAATTTGTTAGTTTTCATGTGTTTTATCTTCAATTTCTGATTCTTGCGCTCTGCCATGCTAAAGTCAGGATATGTGCTAAATATGAGGTGTATTTGAAGATAATTGAATTAAAAACGCTGAGTTGTGCTCTAAGGTGTGTTGATGTGTATGGAAGGAATTTTGAAGGAAATGTTGCAGCATTTTGCTGCAGCAAAATTTAACAGCAAGCAGCCTTGTGAGTGACATCAACACATGTCAAAGCGAAGGGAAAAGATAAAATTACACAAGATGATGTTGTTGTGCAGAGTCATTTGGACCCAATCACTCACTAGGTGCCACCTCAACATCCTTGGATGCCCTAATAAAGAGTACACCCATTTTTAGAGCAGGTGGCCGCAACTAGAAAGGACAGATGAGCACTCTGACGAAGAGAACCACGCCAAGAGGAGAGAAGAAAAGAATGAAAAAAAAAAAGAGAGCATAAAGGAAGAAGAAAGAAGGCTGTACTCGGAGAGAGATTTTCTATCCTTCTCATCACGTGGAAGATTGCTTCAAGAAGGAAGGGAGGAGAACAAGGATTCAAGCTCCAAGCAGCTGAATTTTCTTTTACTTTCTACTCTCTGTAGTCTTTATTCTCTCTCTAGATTTGCAAATCTGTTGAACAATGAATTATACTGAGCAATTGGTTTTGTAAATTCAGCCATGGGCTAAGTTGTTCTTAGCTAGGACTGTTAATGGAACCAAGGTTGTAAGAAAGATAGTTTGCTTATGGAATATTTACTGATTTTATTCATGTTCAACCATGTGTGTTGATTGCTTATTTCTATTTTTGACTGGTCATCAATTATAGGATACTAGACTAAGATTAATACTGGAAATGTTGATTTTAGTTGGATCTAACATGGATGATGCAAGCTCAATAATCTTGTTTAAGTTTGTTAATTTGTGAATGGTATAGGAATATATTGTTCATCTTGTATAAACCATTGAAATCGGTGCTGAAATTTGCATTCTGAAAATTAGATTCACATAGGAATATGCTGTAAATGGTTTAAAGAATCTTTAGTCATAATTAATTCGGAAGAATTTTATGCAGAAAGTTAAGTTTCAATTAACAAGACTAATATATGTTGTAGCATTCCATAGCATTTTCTATCAAACTTACAACTACGGGGAAATTAGTACTTAAGTCACTTATTACAATCCATAGTTGCACTCTTATCTCTTATTGCCCTTTTTCTTGCATTTATAGTGTATTTTGTCTTTTATATTGCTTAGTGAATTTTTGTTAGTTAATTTCCTTACTAAATTTGGTGTTTGGCGTGATTTCTGCACTATTCAATTGGTGAATCAATCTCTGTAGGAACGATATATGTACTCAGTCCACTTTATTACTTGAACGATCCATGCACTTGCGGAACTACACAACAGCAAGCAAGGCGCTCTTTCATTCTCTTAACACCTCCTTTAACAATTTGATTGCAAAACACACATTGGATGTAAACATAAATCCTTTTGTCATTTTCTAATGTAATTTCTTTTCCATATTTCCAAGCCGGGTCTCGTCTCCCACTACGACTATCGCTAGCATTTTTTGGAGGTCTCATCCTAACTTAAACAAAAAAAAAATGGACGTCAAGTCACAATGCATTTTGTGGGGGTCTCACTCTCATCCTAACTTAAACACAATCAGTCCGGATCAATACTCAAATCCTATTATTCAGGGTGCATTTTACAAAAAATAGACATCAAGTCAAGAAGAGAAATACCTCACTTGAAGGGTCGGCAAGTGGCTGGTCTACTTCTAGTTGATGTAGCAGCCAGCAGAGGAACTCGTGAAGGAGACTATTTGCCCGTGAGAGGAAGAAAAAGGAGGAGGAAGAGAGATGATTGTGCAAGTAGCTAGTCTACTTCTAGTTGATGCAGCAGCCAGCAAAGGAACACGTGAAGGAGAGTGTTTGCCCGTGCGAGGAAGGAGGAGAGACGGTTGTGCAAGTGGCTGGCTGCTTCTTTTGTTATTAGGGTTTTTTCTTAGTCATTAAGGGCCTGAGTACTTTGGGCTTTTTAAAACTTTTGGGCCACCAAGTTAAAATAACCCACCGAAATACCTTTTGCAGAGTGGCGGATGCCTCACTAACCGCCTGAGGCGCCGCTCAAAGGCGTGCGCCTCAAGTGCCTAAGGCGCATGCCTCAACACCTACCCTGTAAGGTGTAAGAGTTGAAGCGCTTTTCCAGCGCCTCGCCACGAGGCACCCCTCAAGGCGTGCGCCTTTCGCGCTTTTTAAAATCATGGTTCAAGCACCAAGGCTACAAGCTTACTCAGAGCACTGCATATCACCCGCAAACGGACGGTCAGACCAAGATCATGAATCGTAGCCTCGAGACATGCCTTCGTTGTTTTGCCTCAGATAAGCCGCAGACATGGGTGAAATGGCTGCTTGGCCAAGTTTTGGTGCAATACTTCCTTTCATACAGCCACACAAACCACCCCTTTCACCGCTCTTTATGGTTGCAACCCTCCTCCTATTGTTCGCTATGGTGTGGGCACATCTACAGTGGCCTCCGTGGATAAACAATTGGTAGATAGGGATGGCATTCTTGATGTCCTGAAGCTCCATCTTTTACGTGCACAGAACAAGATGAAGCCGTGGACAGATTCTAACCGCCAAGACATCACCTTCGACATAGGAGAGAGGGCCCCCCGCCTCT